ACACACACTAATCTGCATGCAATCAGACTGACCATTATGTTCTCTGTCAACCAACTACTGTAGTACAGACAACACCAGGGCACAGCTGCACAATGCAGTCTTACACAGCTTAGCAGTGACCTTCAACTAAACTAAAACGCACTGAAGATACAATGCCACTACAACCAAATAGGCTCCTCAGAGTTGAGCATTCTTTAGAGTAGGAGTAGGCAACCCTTGAGAGGTGGAGATCTATCTGACCAACATGGAAGAGATCAAATAACACTGGGGAATTTTTTATTAAGAAATTAAGCAGCAAGGTCCCAATAAAAAGGATGACACTGACATGAAGAAAAGTTATTAAAATATAATAAAACAAACATCACAGTAAAAATAAAAACTTAGCCTACTTTAAAAGATACCTTCAGAGATAAATTTGCCAGTTGCTTTCATTCACAATTTTTTCATGTTTGGAGAGTAATTGGTCACCCCCACAAGTCTGATGCTGGAGTATGTAGGTCAGTGTACAGAGGTCAGTAGTCTGTAGAGCAGTGTACAGAGGTCAGTAGTAGACAGGGCAGTGTACACAGGACATTAGTTTGTAGGGCAGAGTACAGGGGTCAGCAATTTGTAGGGCAGATTAGAGGGGTCAACAGGGCAGTGTACAAAGGGTCAGCAGGGCAAAAGACAGGGGTCATTAAAGGACAGGGGTCAGCATGGCAGAGGACAGGGGTTGGTAGGGCATAGGACGGGGGTCAGCAGGGCAGAGGATGGGGTTAGTAGAGCAGAGGACAGGGGTCAGCAGGGCATAGGATAGGGCTAACAAGACAGAGGACAGGGGTCAGCAGGGCAGAGGATGGGGTTAGTTGGGTAGAGGACAAGGGTCAAAGTTCAGAGGTAGATAGTAACATAGGGCACGGGGTCAGTGGAATGTAAGCAGAAGTCAGATGTATATAAGGCACAGTGCAGGGGTCATTGATGTGTAACAAGCAGCTTCCTATTTGTATTTACAGCTCTGGCCATTAACTGTTTCCTACTATCAGACAGCCTCCACTATGATCCAAAATAAATGTTGATGTCTGGCAGGTACACATATGTACATTGTAGGCAGCAGCAGACTTGCATAATACTGCCAGTCTGCACTGAGGACCTGTCCTTACAGTTTACCGTCTCCTAGCACTGACCTCTGCTGCCTTTTCACCCATATCTAGCCTTCAGTTATCTGTATTGCAGCATGGGCCCCACTAGACTCTCCTGTGGTTTCCTTAGCATGGGCACTGTCCCTCTCATTCTTATCTAGCCCTGCCCCACCCCACCTCTTTCCTAGTACTTCCCTCAGTTCAGCTTTACATGTTGTAGATCGACGCTTTGATCTGAGAGGTAGCAAGCATGATCAGGAGCTGGCAGCATGTCGGGTTGCAATCTATTTGTCAAAAGTCTGTGATCAACAGGTAGATCACAGTCGATGGGTTGATGACCTGTTTTAGAGCAATCAAACAACTTACTTATTTTATATTTAATATTCCTAGGCTAGCAGTGAATAGACAGTTACAAAAAGTTACAAAAAAATAGAAACATGACATTTCAATACAGAAACAGTATTGAAACAATCGGGATAAAACTTACAGAAAAAGTATTTCTCCTGCTTCAGGGGTTGGACAGAAAAATGTGAAGCACCCCTCCCCACCCATATAGCAATCTTATAACCATCAAAGTAACTGTCTACCCACTCAGACTACCCTTTTGGATGGAAATGGCTGTCTACTGCATGTTACCTAATTGGCACAGGTAGGATTTTGGGAACTACAACCTTCAAAAATTCCTACCTGTGTCAAGTTATGCATTATGAATCTGAAATCTACTATGTATAGACACCAACTACTGATACGTTATACCAGGCATCCGAAAATTGACCGCATGACAGTCCTGTCCGGACAGCGGCTCTGCCACTTAGTTTCTCCCAAGTGAATCGTCCTTCACCCCCCCACCCCCACCCCCGCCAGCACTTTTATCCCTACACAGAATATAGGAGGCAGAAGGTGCAGCATGTCCAGACAGAGGGCGAGAGCTGTCCAAATTTTCATGTTAACAAGCCTGTGATTTGTTGCTAGGGATGGTCAACCAATGTCTTCTGCTAGCTGTGTAAAGTAGGATAGTAAAGGTTGGAGGAGGATTGTGATTGGAAAGGGAAAATGTGATGTAAGTGAGGGGGCATTTACATAAAGGTGACTAGGTTGCAAAGAAGGAAGGGGGGCTGTGAAGGGGATCGGGATACAAGAAAGGAGGGCTGTGAAAGGGAGTGGGGTGCAAGCAAGGGGTTGGCAGCTGTAAAGGGGACTGGGATACAAGGAAGGGGGCTGTGAAGGGGACTGGGATACAAGGAGGGAGATTATTATATTATTATTATACAGGATTTATATAGCACCAACAGTTTGTTCAGCGCTTTACAATATAACAGGAGACAATACAGCAACAATACAGTTCAATACAAGAGGGTTAGGAAGGCCCTGCTCCTTGGAGCTTACAATCTAAAAGATGTGAAGAGGACTCAGATACAAGAAGGGGGGCTGTGAAAGGGACTAGGATACAAGGAGGTGGGCTGTAAATGGGACTTGGATGCAAGGAAGGGAGACTGTGAAGGAGACTGGGTGCAAGTAAGGGAGGCTATGAGGGGTACTGGGGTGCAAGGAGGGGGCTGTGAAGGGGAATGGGGTGCAAGGAGGAGGGCTTTGAAGAGGACTAGGGAGCAAGTAAGGGGAGCTGTAGAGAGGACTGAAATGCAAGGAGGGGGGAAGGGGAGGGGACTAGGATACATGGAAGAAGGGGCTGTGTTGGGGACCAGGATGCAAGGAAGGGGGGTTGTGAGGAGAACTGGGATACAAGGAAAGGATCTGTGAAGGAGTCTGGGATACAAGGAGGGGGACTGTAAAGGGGGCTGGGGTAAAAATAAGGGGTGCTGTAAAGGGGGCTGGGATGCAAGGAGAGTGGTTGTGGAAAAAACTGGGATTGAAGGAAGGGGGACTGTGAAAGGGACTAGGGTACAAGCAAGGGGTGCCATGTGGGAAATTTGGGTGCAAGTAAGGGGGACTGCAAAGAGGACAAGGATACAAGGAGGAGGTGCTGTGAAGGGGACTGGGATACAAAAAAAGAGGCTGTGAAGGGGACTGGAGTGCAAAGAAAGGGGACCATAATGCGGACTTGGATGCAAGGAGGGGGGCTGTGGTGTGAAGGAGTGACAGAGGACACTAATGTGAAGGGGAGGGGGATTATAATGTAAGGTGGGGCTGAGGACACTGATGTAAAGGAGGAAGGTCTGTGATGTAAGGAGGGGGGCTGTGATGTGAAAGGGGGACTTGGATGCAAGGGGAGGCTGTATTGTAAAGGAGGGTACTGTGATGTCAAGAGAGGGTTCTGCAATGTAAAAGGGGATGCTGTGATGTAAAGGGAAGAACTGATGACACTGATATTGCAAAACGGAAACTGTTATGTAAGGTGGTGGGGCTGTGATATGAAGAATTTGAGTCATAGCACAAACATGAGACTCAGATCTCTGCTGGATAAAAATTTCAATGACTGGGCTCCATGAATTTTAATGCAATTCTTTTTTTTCCCTAAAATAAAAAAGTTGCAATGGTATTGTACAGAGCAGCCCCATTCCTCCTCTTCTGGGGTTCCCCACTGGCACTCTCCACTCTGCGTGTACCCCCATAGTAAGCTGCTTGCTATAGAGGCATACGTGAGGGTGTGCTCCTGATCTGGGTGGTGTGCATCCATGAACACACAGCATGGCTCAGCCATGCCCCCCTGCTCCCTCCTCTCAGGATTTAATTTACTGCAGCAGCAACCAATGGCCCTGCTATCACTGCAGCCTGTGGAAGCAGAGAGAGGGTAGCAAAGAACTGCTGCTGGGTACAGTACTGGACCAATACAGAACTCATGTAAGTGTTAGGATCGGGGTTGTGGGAACAGGCAGTGGAAGGTTTTTTACCTTCATACAAAGGATGCATTAAGGTAAAAAAACCATTAGAGTTTAGAATCACTTTATTTTCTCCCCATATATATCAATAAAATTGGCATGTTTGATATCTTGCATTTCATCTCTGAGCAAAAAAGTTCTTTCAGGAAGTTTTATAATTATGCACTGCATGATATTGGAGTTATAAATTATTACAATTTTGAAGTTGTAATACACACATTTTTATCACAAGCTAGGTGAGGAAATTAGGGTGACTCTCCCCGGTGTGAACAGGATAAAAAAAAGGTTTGGCTTTAGATATGCAATAAGGAAGGGAGCTATCTTGTAAGTGGAATCAATATTCTGTTACCCCTTTATCCACCCTCTGTTTGAAACAATTAGGGCTTCTTTTTTAGAACTTTGATCATTTCTTTCCCCAGAGCTGGTAATAGCGCCATAAATATTTTTAAATGATGAAAGACTAAACGTCTGACAAATGTTTGATCTATCCTGAAATGTTTGTAGTTACATGTTTTACTCGTTTAGTTTTATTTAGTAAAAATCTGTCAAAAAACACGTTGGGATATTAAAATATATATAAACTCTAACTGAACTTTCCTTATTTGCTTCCTTTGGTCTGTTAAATATACCATTGAATGCATTTTATTATATATGAATTATACATTTAAAAAAAAATAACCTTTGATCCTGCCAGGGATCTGTTGAGCTGATATAACTGCTTTAAGTATTTGTGTTTGTTGCCCGGTTATTAGATGTATCTAGGTTAGTGTCACCAATCCTCCCTGTTGCGCTGGATGGCATGAATGCCTCCAAATATGTTTGATAATGAGATACTGAGAAGACCAGAAATAACATTTGTCTTAAATAGGGCAGCTAATTGGTGTAGCAACCATACCTCCTCCCTTCCCTTCTGTGGAGAACTCACTCCACACCACATGGAGTAGAGAAGATGGTGCCTGCTCAACGATACCCAGGGAGGATTTGTGATGCTAACCTAGATACATTCTTGGTAAGCAAAAAACAATATGGATACATGTATACATATATGTATATTCTTTTTTTTTCATGTACCTCTTCTGTGGTTTTTGTGGGGACCATAGGGAACAAATATATTCTGGGTCTAGAGTACTACCTGACCTGATTATTGTATCCCATATACTGATATTATGATCAGGGGCGGACTGACCATTCAGACACTCGGGCACTGCCTGAGGGCCCGGGGTCAGTGAGGGGCCCCATGAGATGCCCCTGGTACCTTTCATAGGCTTTTTTGGGTGTGGTTTAAGTGTGAGTGAGGACACAGGGGCCCCATGATTCCCTATTGCCCAGGGGCCCCGTAAGTTGTCAGTCCGCCCCTGATTATGATCCTAAAATGCTCTAATATCTATCTAGGTATTGCAATAATTTTGATTATCCTAGTATGCTCAGGCATGAATCTTGAGTAGAATAGTATTTTTAATGATTTTAATAAGCTTGAGTATTTATTTTGAGCATTTAAGTACCAATAAAAAATTTGTTCTTGCATTTATTTTGAGAAATACATTTTCTAGCCATCTATGTTTATTTTGAGCGCTTAGTCACTATAATTTGTTTTGGAGCTTTCCTAGTTGTGCAGGATCTCTTGCATATTTTTGTGCACTACCTATTTTTATTATTTCAACAACTTTTATTAAGAATGTGCATTGAATATCATTATTTTTCATTGTGGCAGTGGTGTGGCAACTAGCCTGGTGGTCTTTGCACATCATGATAGCGGCCCTACTCATAGGAAATCACATCTCCCCTGCATGATGAGAAATCTTTTGGAGTATCTTTGATAAACTGTGATTATGGAAGTCCCTATTCAATATGTAGTTTATTGACTCTGTAAATAAATGATAATTTTGTAAACTAGATTGTAAATTATTGTTAATGTTCCAGAGTAGTATGCTATCCCTGAAGAAGATAATGTGTACACTATATTGCCAAAAGTATCCAAATTATTGGATTCAGGTGTTCCAATCACCTCGATTTCCACAGGTGTAGAAAATCAAGCACCTAGACATGCAGACTGCTTCTACAAACATTTGTGAAAGAATGTGCCGCTCTCTGGAGCTCAGAGGATTCAACCGTGGTGCGGTGCTAGGTTGCCACCTGTGCAATATGTCCATCCGCGACATTTCCTTGCTACTAAATATTCCACTGTCAACTGTTAGTGGTATTATAACAAAGTGGAAGAAACTGGGAACAACATCAACTCAGCCAGAAGTGATAGGCCACGTAAAATGACAGAGCGGGGTCAGCTCATGCTGAAACGCACAGTATCAGTGCAGAAGTCGCCAACTGTCTGCAGACTCAATAGCTAATGACCTCCACATTTTGTGTGGCACTCAGATTAGCTCAACAACAGTAGGCAGAGAGCTTCATGGATTTCCATGGCCGAGCAGCTGCATCCAAGCCTTACATCATCAAGTACAATGCAAAGCGTCGGATGCAGTGGTGTAAAGCATGACGCCACTGGACTCTAGAGCAGTGGAGACTTGTTCTCTGGTGTAATGAATCATGGTTCTCTGTCTGGCAATCCAATGGACGTGTCAGGGTTTTCCTGGGGTTGCCAGGAGAACAGTACTTGCCTGATGGCACTGTGTCAAGTGTAAAGTTTGGTGGAGGGGGGATTATGGTGTGGAGTTGTTTTTCAGGGGTTGGGCTTGGCCTCTTAGTTCCAGTGAAGGGAACTCTTAAGGTGTCAGCATACCAAGACATTTTGGACAATTTCATGCTCCCAACTTTGTGGGAACAGTTTGAGGATGACCCTTCCTGTTCCTGTGCACCAGTGCACAAAGCAAGTTCCATAAATATATGGATGAGCCAGTTTGGGGTGCAGGAACTTGACTGGCTTGCACAGATTCCTGACCTCAACCCAATAGAACACTGTTCGGATGAAATAGAGCGGAGACTGCAAGCCAGGCCTTCTCAACCAACATCAGTGCCTGACCCCAAAAATGAGCTTCTGAAAGAATAGTCAAATATTCCCATAGACACACTCCTAAACCTTGTGGACAGCCTTCCAAGAAGAGTTCAAGCTGTTATAGCTATAAAGTGTGGGCCAACTCAATCTCCTAGATTGCAAACTCTAATGAGCAGAGCCCTCTGTTTCCACTTGTACCAAATTGTATTGTAACTGTAGTTTCTACCTTCATTTTGTAAAGTGCTGCGCAAACTGTTGCTTCTATATAAATCCTGTATAATAATAATTGAACCCTTCAGACTAAGACTGGGGTGCCATTAAAATTCATGTACGTGTAAAGGCAGGCATCCCAATACTTTGTGCAATATAGTGTATATCATGTTGGAAACACATTGAATCCCTAGCTGAATAAACCAACAATCCAAGGAATATGGTTGTGGGATGAAAGTCAGCTATGGGGGGGGGGGGGGGGGGGAGGTACCACTAGACCTATGCTGTACTATGTTGCAAGTTACAATAGATTATACTCAAAATCCTTCTTTTTTTTTTTAAATCCATCATGGAAATTGTGTTTTTGTACATGTGGTATACTTTTTAATCTGTAAAAATAAATATTGGTATTTTAAAGAAGAAAATGTGTTAGTAGGTTGCCTTCAAAATCCTTTCAAGAGTTCAATTGTTTGAGTGTTGTCACAGTAGGACAGGAAGTGTGTTACAGACAGGATCACCAGGCAAAAATAAAGGTAACAAAAAGCCAGAAAAAAATTAATGCTGCCACCACATCTAGGGACTGGTAAATTTCAAAAGATTAAATGCTTTTTCTTGGGTTCGGATATGTTTTAAGATTACAAATATCAGCATACAGTAGACATTTTATGAGTACTTATGATTTTCAGAATCAAGTAGGTTGAGTGTGAGCAGAGTGGGTAATTTGCTAAGTGTTGGCTAAGTGCTGGCATTAATTAGCCATTACATAGCAAGAACTACTTATCGATTCAGCTCAAAAGGCGAAAAACAGCAGGGACAGCCAAGATGCTTGCATTTGAAATTGTTAACACTATTAAAACAAATTTAAATTACATTTTCTAATTAAATGCCATCAGTGGCACCCTATTTAAAATTTGGTCAAACAAAACTCCTGTAAATTACTATACAATGAAAATGCATCTTCTAAGCCATCTAAGATTCTGGCCATAAGCTAGAGGAGATTTGGCTGCTGGACTGGTTCTCTTGGAACATTGTCCATATTTGTTTATAAACATTTCAGAGAACAACAGGACCGCCCATGTCATATCAACATATTCTGATACACAATTTAAACAGGTATATTTTCTATCTTTACATTAGTATAATTTTAAAAAAGTATTCACTCAAGTTTGATAGAGTTCCCAGAACAGATAGAACACTGACCATGCTGTGCTTTCCTGCTTTGTGTTGTCAGTTTTTAATAGGAAAGCATGGGAACTGGCGAGTACACCAGGGATTTCAAGCTAAAGAAGCAATACAAAGAGAGCAAGATACTTTTTCATAAATGTACATGGTCCTACAGTCGCATATTAGGAATATGAAATGGTGGGTTTACATACTCTTTAACCATTTGCCGCCCGCCCTATGGCCGAATGGCAGCTGGAAAATGTCATCAGCGTTCCGGGTGGACGCCATAGGGTGTCCTCCCGCACATGTGCAGATTGCGCTCCTGCAGAGCCGCGCAGCGGCGCGATCTGTCACCGGCCGTGTACCTAGGACACGGCCGATGACAGATCTGAGTATCGGCCCCCGTTGCCGGTACCATGTGACCTGCTGTGACTAATCACAGCAGGTCACATGACAAATGTATACAATGGATGGCTTCATTTATGCCATCCATTGTATACTAGTGTCTAGCTGTGAATGGTCACAGCTAATCACATGCACATGTCATGTGATTAGCTGTGGCCAAATCACAGCTAAGCACAAAAAAAAAAAAAAAAAAAAAAAAATCCTGAATGAATCGATGTCATTCAGGTAAATGCTTGCTTTTGGCAAAGTAATTCTTTGCTATAAGCAAATTGTGTAAAAAAACAAATACTGATCACTTCCCCAAAGTAGTACAATGTTACTATGGTAACATTGTACTACTTTGGTCATAGTGAAATATGAAAAAAAAAATCTTAAAAAAAGAAAAAAAATTTAATAAAAAATAAAAAAAAATATAAAAAAAAAAATATATATATATATACAGTATATATATATATTTTTTTTTTTTTTTTTTTTTTTCATACTGTCACCAGTCAGTGTCCCTGATCACCGCCATGCCAGTTATATGATGACGCTGTACTGCACTGGTGACAATATGTAAAAAAAAAATAGTGAAAAAATTTTTTTTAAATTTTTTCATTTTCCGAAAAATTAGGAGAAAAAAAAATACAACTTCAAAAAACTCGCCATGCCTCTTATGAAGTACGTCAGACTGTCTACTACTTTACAAAAAGGGGTCATTTGGGGGATAACTGTACTGTTCTGACATTCTTGGACCTCAAGAAATTAGATTGGCTGTCAGTACTTCAGGATTGATCAATATTCAGATCTATACCATAGTTTGTGAACTCTATAACTTTCCTACAAACTAAAAAATACATCCTAATTTGGGTTATTTTCACCAAAGACATGTAGCAGAATACATCTTGGCCTAAATTTATGAAGAACAATTATTTATTTGCAAACTTTTATAACAGAAACAAAGAAAAACGTGTGTTTGTTTCAAACGTTTTGGTCTTTTTTTGTTAATTTAGCAAAAAATAAAAACCCCAGCGGTGATTAAATACCACCAAAAGAAAACTCTAGTTGTATGAAGAAAATGATACAATTTTAGTTTGGGTACAATGTTGTATGACCGCGTAATTGTCAATCAAAGTGTGAGAGCGCTGAAACCTGAAAACTGGCCTGGGCAGGAAGGTGTAAAAGTGCCCGGTATGGAAGTGGTTAAAAAGGCACCCATTCATGGCAAAATGACTGTTTGCATAAAGAGCCCTCCAGTCCACGGATACTTACCTAGCAGGTGCTCTTGTACTGCTCCTTTCACTACCTTAGAAAATTCCCAGTACCTCCAGGTATGAGGGAGCATGGGACCACACAGGTCTAGCAATTAAATGGAATACTATCAATTAAATGAAAGTACTAGCAATTAAATGACAGAGAACATACTGAAACATGAGGCAGTGACATTACTGCTCTCTTTGGAGCCTGGCATCAACCAACAGCAAGGAATCTGGTTCTGACTGGAGGAAGGAGCAACAAGGGGTGGTTGCCGAAGTGATGATAAGTAGATGGGGGAGCCCCTTTACATAGACCCTTCACTTTGTCCTGAATGGGAAAAGTGAGAGCGTCTTTTTAATTATATACAGAATAATATTCCTTCTTCTGTTGATGGCAAACACAATACAACAGCCTGCCACTCTGTATTTATGTCGTTGTTGCTCATCATTCTTCACATTTTCAATGCAGCTTGTTTGACTAGGTTGAATGTGAAATAAAAATTATATTTTTTTGATTCTTGTATTGTATTAAAATACAGTGAACATACATCAAAAGTAAAATGACTCAGAGACGAAAGACAAATTATTTATCACACACAAAAAATTATATTCTGTATTTGAGACAGCAAAGGAGAAAAAGCAGCATATTTTTTTTCTACAAATTATTTTATAATAGATTGTAACAAGTTTTACTTTTTCTTACTGTATGTGTCTTGCTGTGTTTTCCAGTTGACAAATATGATATTATAGAGGTAGCAATAACTGCAGCTAGCAGGCCATCATTAATGTTTCACTCTAAATGGGATCTTGCTCTGAGACAACTGACACTAAACAATATCCATGGCACTAAGATCTATTTATCCCGCCCTGCATTTTCCTCGCCGATCTTGCTGCTGAAACCGTCTCAGTTTGTGTGCCCAAACATCACGCCAAGGCAGGGACAGGCTGTTCTTATCCAATATCAGACGAGCAGGATCTGGAGATTCCTCATCATTACCAATGATCAAATAAGACTTGCCTACTTGAACACGGAGGCAATCACATGCCAAATCTTGGTCTGGAACCCATATTGGTTGATCACCACGTCTGATGGGAACCCTGCGCTGTCTATATACTGTAAGCACATTAGCTGTAAATTGCCACCATTCTCCAGATTTCTCCATAGACAGTAGCTGGGCCCGGAGAACTGTAAGAAATAAAGTAGACATAACATCATCTCATGTTTTGAAATATTATACTGGTAGAATACTTGATAAATTGGTATCAGTGGTGTAACAACAAGAGCGCCAGAAGTAGTGACTTTCATAGATCTTTGGCAACATGGGACACAAAAATCATTCTTTACTTCTCACTTCTTGTCAGCTAAAGATGCTTTCGTAATCACACATTTGTTCTGATGAGTAATTATCTGCTTGGTAAATATGTTGATAACATGAACTTTTATGTATGATCCAGGGGTGTATATACAGGGGCCGCAGAGATCGTAATTATGACCCATTCCCATGCTCCAGGGGCCCATGAGGCTCCGCTGTACATCTGAATAGGAGGGGAGGTAGGTGTTGGCATATAGAAGAACCGATCCCTTTCATTTTGCTCCTGCAGCTGCTGAAAAGCTGCAGGAAGAAGGGATTGGTTCCTCTTCATGCCACCTTCACTGCCGCTCCTATCCAGGTCCTGCTGTATCCAGGCCCCTGTGTGCTCCCCTGGACCCCTCCTCCTCCTCCACAGCTTATCCGGGTTCCCCCCTCGCCTCTCCTGCTGCACTGGATGCTTTCAGGATGGAAAGTGAACAAAGGGGCCAGTAAATATGTGAATTCCTGGCCCCTTCATTTTCTGAATGAACAGAGCCAGTGATCGGTACTGATCATTGACTCTGTTCATTCACAACTGAAGCATAGGAAACTGTGCTTACTATGCTTTAATTTGTGAATGACTGGGGAGCTCTGTACAGACCATTCCTGTCCATTCAGTCTGTGTGACTGAGGTTGCAGAGATGGAGATGGATCTTCAATCTCATTTCTCCGTCTCAAAGATGGAACATTAGATGTCTTTTTAGACCCCTGATATCTCAACAATAATAAAAAAAAATCATTAAAAAAGTAAAAATAATAGCAAATAAAATAAAAATTAGACACTTACTACTGACAGTGGCGGAACTACCAAAGGTTACACTTGCGACCAGGCCTTGGTGTTCTGCCACCGTAGGGGGGCTCCAAGACAGTAGTAAGGAGACCTGCTGCAGAACATATGAAAGTGTCCCTCTGCAAGACCATAATAAAGGGCCCTGTGATGAGAGTAAAAGGATTAGAGGGAAGGGCCCCAGCTGGGGACCCTTCATGGTTGCACCAGAGCCCTGAAGCTTCTAGTTATGCCTCTGTGTATGACAATGTCAGAACTGTTACAAAGAACTCCTATGACACAGAGAAAAAAATCAAGAGTGACATGGTACTGCAGACCAATGCATCTCACCAGTTCCACAGCAAGAGCTCTTGGCTGCCATGCTGCTCCACTGAGTGCTGCCACAGAAAGTGGCTTTCTATATGGGTCCTCGTGCAGGCTCACTTCTGAGCCTTGCTGTCTGCGTCTATTGACACAGACAGCAGGACTTGGCCCAATCCCTTTTTCCTCACCACTGGCTTTGATTGACAGCCAATGGCTCCCACTGCCCTAGCAAAGCCCAAAATACCACAAAGTGAGGAGAGAAAAGAGCTGCAGACATGTACAGCTCTGGATTGATTAAGGGCTCGGGTAAGCATAAGGGGAGATGAGGGGGCATACTGATGCCTAAACATTTTTTATTTTAATGCAAGGAATGCATTAAGGTAAAATGTTTAGGGTTTATAACCACTTTAGTAGTGGGACCAATATTCTACTTTTACCAACTATCGCAAAAAAATGAACAAGGAATAATTGTATTACATTTTATCACATCACATGAAAAGCATTAATGGATTATTTGATCCTGCCTCATCAAACCTATTGGATTACTTGTGAAAATGTATGACCTTGTGACTGAGCAATCATAGGTGGTTCAAGTGAGTCAAATATTACCCCTGTGAATGAGTTAAATAGGATGAATAAGGGTTACATTTACTATTACAACCTATGTACATTTTACACCTTCACATCTATAGGTTACAATGTCTTTACTATAGGAAAAATATGATGCTTGCTAGCTTCAAAATTCAAACAGGCATCTTAGAAGACTTGGAAATGAAAACACGAGTCTGGATGTAACTGATGCATTACTTGAATATAAGGAAACAATTTTGTCACTAAGCACTACATTTAAAAGGTTATACTGGTTTTATGTTGCAGCTGACAGATAAAATGATGACATTAAAATGCATGAAAAAATTTTGAGGACTGAATGTTGTGGTAGTTCTACCTTAAAGAAATTAGGTTGTCTTTTTTAAATCAAGAGGAAATGTGATTTGGCTATCTACAGACAAGATAATGATGACTATTAATCAAACTCGGATATTTTTCTTGCTACCTTAGATTAAAACAGGGCAGTGTAGAAGTGGTAAAACTTTTCAACCTTGATTACAATAAAAAAAAACCTTAAGATAATGATCTCTTCCTGCAGTATTAAAATATATCTAAAGTAATGTTTTTCTTGTTTTGTGTAAAGGATGGAAATGTTAAAACCCCCTGTATTTTTTATTGCTGCCTGCATTCAAATTAGGAAGATTTTCTTCACCGAATCATCCTCCAGTTATTACCTTCTGTATCTCTTGAACCTTCCTCCTAGATTGTGAACTCTAATGAGCAGGGCCCTCTGAGCCCTTCTGTATTGAATTGTTTTGTAACTGTCCTGTCTGCCCTCATGGTGTAAGCACTGCGTAAGCTGTTGGCACTAAGCAAATCCTGTATAATAATAACAATTTACCTTCTCTAAATTTTAGTCTTTACATACATATTAAGTAGTAGCCATTTATTTATTGTTAATTCCTTCATGATCAGATTATAGCAATGAATGCTCAGCTCTATTGGATCATATTAATTGAGCCAGGCAAGGCCACCATAAAAAGATTTTCACTGAACCCTAGTGATAATTAATTTTTAACCTAAAAAATAAAGTAGCCAGGCCTAGACAGGCAGATCTAGTTTGCCTGCCCTCAAAGATTTGTGATCATTATATGCTAGAAGTTAAATTCCCAATTTCTGTATGTATTACGTAAGATGATAGTTTAACAGAGAGGTTATCCAGTATGCATTCGTTACACACACTAAATATTGCTACCAATGCTTGTATCAGTGCTATCATAAGCTACAATAGGGCGTAAAAATAGGATAAAGGAAGGTTGTAGTATCCCTAGTTATTCAAGTATACTAGCAAGCAGTGGCGGACTGACAACTCATGGGGCCCCCGGGCAATAGGGGATCATGGGGCCCCTGTGTCCTTGCCCAAACTCAAAAAAACCTATGAAAAAAGTATCAGGGGCATCTCATGGGGCCCCCTACTGACTCCGGGCCCTTGGGCAGTGCCCGAGTTTCCAAATGGTCAGTCTGCCCCTGCTAGCAAGAATATTAGCTTAAATACTTGCAATTAAATATGTTTTCAATTCTTCAAAAAGTTGAAAATCCCTTTTCACTCAAAGCTTTTTCAGATGAAATTTGATGCAGCTCCTCTCTCGGTATCCCTCTGGAATATCAGTACTCAAGTAGTGGTGGATTCCTATGAGCTAAGGTCCAAGTTGTTTCCTGTTATCCTGCACTCCTACAGAGGAAGGTTTTTGGAAATCATTTAATAAAATATATGTTTAACTTATGCCAATGTGATTTTACATTACGGTTGTCTTACAATATCTTGAACAGTCTTTTTTCTAAGAAAGCAAACTCAAGGGCTCTGTAGTATTACTCTAATGTATACATACACCTTGGGTGGCTGCACACACTTAACCTGTGACCTCATGCCTTTAATTTGAGCTGTTTCTCTGTTGCTCATCATTTGTTTGAAGACTGTTTAGTTTTATTGGTCATGACATAAAGACGATCAATCACAGAGACTTCTTTTCTTTGCATCTCATTCTCTTACCACTGACTAGGGCTTAAGGGCCCCTTATCCCTTTCATTACAGGGTGCTTGCCCTGGAACTCACTGTGTTTTAATGCACAATAGGCCACCCCTAAAGAAGTTTAACCCATCATTGGAATATGTATGCATTATAAACATTACAATAGTGTTGAAAAGATAAAAAGGTATTCAACTCATTTTTGCAGATGAAGGCTCCTGTACGTAACATTTATTTATGATGTATGTCTATAAATACATTCTGCAGTCATCTTAAATCTAGTCTTCAGTCTAGCCTTGTGTTTTTACTCTTCTTTGCCCTCACTTCTTTATAAGACGCAAGAGGAAATCAGCTTAACTTGATAATTCCCTTTGTGCTGTTAAAAACATTCTTCTTACGCAGCGGGGCTTGGACCCGTTAGTTCTATCTCATCTCTTGCTTTCAGTGCTCACTTTCCTTCCCAGCCTAACATTGCCATTTTCTCAGAAGCCATGGCTTTAACTAATCCCATGAAATGATGATCCTTCAGTCATCTTATCCCAGCTGTGCCCATGGGATCAAGAAAAGGACCTGCTGGGAGGAAAGTGACCCAAAGCAAGCAGGGAGCAGGATAAAAGCCATGGAATTCAGAGCTTCTGTGCTACTAATTAATCTATTTGCATCTAAAAGATCCTTCAAACTGGAGGTCTAGCACATCTCATTTACTGACCATGGTAAAAAAAAAAAAAAAAACACAGCCTGGCTATGCTAATAAGATGAAGCCTTACTTTTGCTTTTGACCATTTCTGTTCTATTATTATGAGAAATTCTAAATACTGGGTGACAGTTCAAGCAAGGTTGAAATCGTATTAATGAAAAAAATACAGAAAAATGTTCAGGGAAAGCTGCTTCATTCATTTAATGTATATTTATATGTAGAGTACAAACATCACAACTGCGCTGTGCTTTGTGACACTGTTCCAATGCAGCAGGGAGTCAGAATTGCACCTCCCCACTGCACATATCAGAACAGCTCAGCGGAGCTTAGAGAGCTTCTAAAGTAGAGGAAAAGATAGAGTATTAATGTGACTATTAAAGAAGATTAAAAAAGAGGGAAACATTAAAAGAGCCATGGCTGGAGTTTGCCGTTAAATTGTATTGTGTCCCCAGATAATTGTATTTGGAGATCTGCAAAATTATATAATGAGGAATAACTAATGTGGCAGTAGTGATTTGTACTGAGCTGAGCCCTACGATTGGGACAGAACCAGGCCCACATTTGTAGAAAGGGTGCATACGCTCTTGCCTAGTACATCAAAATTTAAAGAGACCTAGTCAATGGGGGGGGGGGGGGGGCACTGAAAACATAGAGTTCTGGTAACTATAAGAATACATATTTGTGCCAGAATCCCAAACCACTCAGGAAGGGGGCAGCCCCCTTCTGCACTAACAAACAGAAGCTTTAGCTGATAGTCTCTTTAAAATGGGGATGCCCCATGCACCTTTTACCTTATCAATTTTTTTGTCACAGACAAGCTTGGAACAATGCAGCAATAAAAAAAATTTACTAAATAGATTTTTGTTTTGCTTATGTAAATACATGTTCTTAGAATGATTTTTAAATTTCATTGCTGATGCAAACTTCTGGTTTTAGGTGTCTTTTTAACACAGTTTACTTACATTTTAAGTTGAAATTTATTCACTGAAAGGATTTAGTACTTTGTCGTAGCACAGAGAATTTGTTGAGAGTTTGTTGTTTCTCCATCATCTTCTACTAGTGTGGACATCAGTAACCAATACAGGGATTCAAAATCTACATTCACATCCACACTAATTTAAGGGGTATATTTATACAAAAAATTGGCTATGCGAATATGTCTGTCACAAATCAGCAATGTAATTTGCCTAATATATTTATTTCTTAGGATTGTGACACCCATCACTGGCAATAACAGTATTTTTAGAAAAGTACTGCATTACAGCCACCCGATGGAGGTGATAAACGATATAACCAAAATAGGCAAATTACAGTGCAGATTTCTGGCAGCTGTGTAAATGATTGACATATTTACATGGCATTTTTATTAAGAGACACCTATGTATTATCCTAGGTGGTACTAGCCCTGCAAATGCTACAGTGTGCTCCTTGGTTCTTACACATAGTTCCCTACTGGTTGGGAGGAATGTCTACAGGGGCTAATAGATCTCTGAGATCATTGGGTTCCCACTGCTAAAGCTGCATCTCACCTGAAACACTGAACCAGCTACAAGTATTATAGCAAACGTGGATTTGCATTACAAAGGTCTAAAACAGATTCCCTGCTGTTAAGTGTAAGTGAGAATTAACCACTTCCCGTCCAGCCCATATACATAAATGGCCGGAAGGGAGCAGTGCAGGAGCGGGTTGCCGTTCATAAACATCGCCCGCATTTTCAGCCTGTGCACGCTCCTTGGGACCGCGTAGTACCTCTGTGTGAGGTCCCGATCATGTGATCACAGATTGGCCAATCAGTAGTCACATGAATAGTATTAAGCAAGATGTCACTTCTGACATCATTGCTTACTACTTGTGAAATCTGTGACTGATCACAGAGATCACATGGTACAAGGCTATTCATAACAGTCTTGTACCATGTGACAAGCTGTGACCAATTACAGCTCTCACAGTATTTCTCAATGGCTGCAAGAATGAGCCAAGAAATTAAAAAATTATTGCTTTTACAGCCTTTATGGGTATAAAAGCAATCAGTTTAAAAAAAATTTATAATCTTCATCACCCCCCACAAGTAGTACAGTGTCACTATGGTGACACTGTACTGCTAAGGTGACAGTATTTAAAAAAAAAACATAAATAATAATATAAAAAAATAAAATAAAACTGTAAAAATGTTTTTGAAAAATTATAATTTTTGGTTATAAACTAATTTGGGTTGGAAAAACACTTTAAAATTTTTTTGGACTTTTTCATTTATATAGCAAAACAAATTCAAATCCCAGTGGTGAATAAATACCACCAAAATAAAGTTTTATCTATCTTAAAAAAATGCCAAAAAGTGCATATGGGTACAGTGTTGCATGACCGCGCAATTGTTATTCAAAGTGTGACAGCGCTGAAAGCTGAAAATTGGCCTGAACAGGAAGGGGGTGAAAGTGTCCGGACTTGATGTGGTTAAGCATATTTCCTCTTGTTGAAAATGATATATTATCACAATCATTTTACATACCGTAATCTTTTTTGCAATATTTGCGTAGATTCATGTGCACACGGCTGTGAGATGGCTTACAATAGGACTGGCATTCAGAGACTAAAAAAAAAAATGAAATATTAGCAAATCTAAATTCTGCTACAGTGCAAAACTCATATAGTGCTGTAATACTTTACAGAAAGTTAGATATACCTGATCCTGTTTTCCATTCCACGGGATATGCTGCTGTTGTAGTCATCTCCTCTTGAATCCCTAATTTTAAGCAAAAAATAAATATGTTAATGTTAGTATATTGCAGTAAAATGTAAAATACAAAATTTATCAGAATCTGTATAAATGATTTATTTTGCTGGTATAACTGGAGCCCAGTTTGCATAGCTTTACCTTTCAAGCACACAGTCAATGAACCCCTAGGTTAATTCCGCAACCACTAGAAACACGTCCTTTACGCACAAAAAGGTATTCTTTTTGTCATGCCAAACAAGGAGACAAAATGTAGGTCTATGTATAGCATGGAATGTGATGTCATGTTTATTGCATTTTAGTGTGCAAGCATTGTACATTGTTGCCTTAGGGTTTTCTTTTTGCCTACCTTTTGAAGTTTTTTAATTGTAAGCTTAGGATTCTGAGACTGTGAGGTTTTTATTATTGTCTTTTGGATATCCACATAGAAGAAAAACATATTTGAAATATATTTTAAAAATATTCTTCCCAAATATATTGACATATATTTGAAAAACTACAATTTTGACCATATTCAATATATTTCAAAATATATTTCAATAAATATATATACTGTATGTTGAAAAGTTTTTATTACAAAATATCTGAAAAATATTTTTAAAAATAAATTTTCAAATATACTGTATGTCTTTAAAAATACAAATCTATATTTTTGTAATGCATTTACAAATATATGTAAAAAATATATGTTACAATTATTTTTTTATATGTTAAAAAATATCAGAAGAATATATTTAAAAAATTGTAAAAATATTTTTCATATATTTTGTAATATATAAAAAATGCATTGCAACATGCAGTGTGTGTATATATATTGTGACAGTGTGACGATCTGTCACCCAGGATTCTCAACTAGGCAGGTTGAGGGGCTCCAGGGTAAGTGTTTGATACGGAGGAAAGTGGCTTTTCATTTTCCTCCTTTGTTTGTAAGGTCTGTTTTGGGATCTGGAGCCTGGAGATTTCAAAGAGATCTGGGAGGGATGAAATCTCCAATCATGGTACCAGGTTTTGGGAATGGCCAGGAGACTGATTGCACAGGTGTGTGCAGGCCTTTTCAGAGAATCAGGAGGGCTCCACCCCGGCA